TATTAAATTCGAGTTTATCAAGTACTCGGGTGGTGTTATTTAGTCGCATTGAGCGTTTAGCATATGCGTAGTTTCCTAAAACACCGTAATACATGTGTTAATCACAGACTATGAAGTCTTCACAAATACTATTTTGTTTGTTGAACAATAATCTAGACCGATTTGGAATTTGTGGATAAACACGACACATTCCTTACTGTTTTCACATGTTTGTGGCGCCTTGTTTGTTTCTCTTATTTTTGACCTTGCCCATTATAAATATGATGAACCTCAATTTCTGCCATTAAATGTACGCTTACCAGCAAACTTAAATTTTATTTTTTGTTGGACAAGAAGCTGTTGTACCATAAAAGAAGTAACCCAATGCTAATTTTCTTCAGGTGGATACACGGTCATATCTTCTCGATTTCAAGTGTATTGACGACACAAAAAGTGAATCCGATTCTCTTCTTAATCGTCGACGGTCGGCTAATGTTTCAATGTGTTTCGATGGGAGCTGCTCTGGTGAGAGTAAAATAGTGGCATTATCTTATTGTACAAAACAATCGGAAAAATGTGCTATGCAAATGATTTCATTGTTTTACTTACTGCAGTCTCTTCATCGAAGAGGGTATTTTACAAGAGGATGTATCAAGTAGCCAAAAATAACAATTCCTGCCGCGAACAGTCGCGATAACGCATTCCGAGTTATGCATGACAAAAAATCTCCAAGGTCAAAGCATCTTTCCGAGTCCTCTAACTTGGTAAAGATGAAACCGCTTGATTTCATACTGCCGTTAAGTGGGATGGCCGGATTTTGAGAAGGGACACGTGACCCTTTTCTGGCTTGGAAGTAGCTTATTTTTCAGCAAAATGAAGCATTTTTCTCAAATGCTATTTATTTCTAATATCAAAGGTTCCCCGATGAGTGGACCTTCAGTCCCAGTGACTGCCGGCGTTCCGCTTTCAGCGTCAGTGCCACCACTTGGAGGTTTTTCGGCACCTACTGACGTTGCTCCAGTCTCAATGGATCCTAACAACGGGGCTAACGCCTCTCAGATTCATGCGTCGCCTGGTGCTGTACGGTCGGGCGGTATGGGTGTACGACACCAAACGATGGAATTCTTCGAACTATGTACCGAACTCATAACCACACTCGCTCGGTGATGACCTATCACCCAATCCCAAACGTTGCCCTTACTTTAATTATTCGGCTCTCCTGTCCAGCAACAAATCAGTTAGCGTTTATTTATCACCGAAATTTTGCCTACCAGAACCCTTTTCACACATTAGTCAATCAGTCAGTCGAATAGAATAAAAAGCTTCTTATTCTGATTCAGGTCATAAGTCTCTTGAACTTCAACAAGGGTGTATTTATCAATATTATTCAGTAATAGTTCTTAGCAAAACCACAAATACTTGAACAAGAAGAACCAATTTATTGGCAGCCACAAAAAGGATAGTAAAAATAGTTTTACGAATGCTATTTAGAGCACCGCATTAATTCCCCTATCGTCGAAAATGTAGCAGGAGAGTCTAACGAAACACTTGAGCATTATCTGCAGTTTCAAGGAAAAAAATCTGCATTATCAAAGACTACAATATCTTAATTCACAACAGATGGCATTTTTTACAATGGAGTAGATCACCACTTTTAAATCAAGTAAATTAACGTTTTTCTATATACTAGGGGCTACTAGATTAAAATCAGTGACCTGCTAAGAACTAAGGGCTTCGAACAACAGCACAATAAAATACATTGAAGAGGACAAAATAAGTGCAAGCCTGAATATGAGAGATCCGAGGTTTGTGGAGTCCCCAACTGCAACATTCCACCCACGTTTCGGTAAATCCTCTCAAGTTGCCATTGTGACCACTCACGCATTTTTTTGTTGGTTACATCCCTCGATGTGGCTACCAAAGACCGAACATTTGTAGGGGATTAACAGCGATCGCGCCTATGTGAACTCTGGTTACCGACCTGTCGGTGACAATGACTCATCCCCTTTTCATTAGTTACCGTATCAGATCCCTGTTATCCGTTCACTCATCCACGCAATAGGACACATTTGGTGGCATGACGCTAATAGACAGTCGTGTTCACTGTCGTCTCATTTTTCACTCTTGGTTTATTTCGGGATGTTAACTAGAGGGTTGTAAGGTAGTGCTTAGACCACAAGCCACTGCACATTGGCGAAACAAATTACACGGCTCTTTTGACAGCTACTTCTACTGGGACGCACCCGGTCACGCAAAATTGACAACTTGAGGTTTGGACTGCACGTCGGCATCCGTGGTTGCCTTTTATGGATTCACCCTCCCGCTTATCACGATCTCCCTCCTACGACACTACGGCACTAAATCTACACTTCACTGCTAGCAATTGGCTGCTTCAATGTAGACTCGTGTTTGTTGCATTACGATGACACGTCAACAGCGGGCATGCGTTAAACAGAGTTGCGTCACTCAAGTAATGCGGCGCCGAAGTCCACAGCTCCTAACACACTTCAATTTCTTCCAAACCCCTCGGAACTGCAATTACATCAAAGTGTTGTGTAGTGCCAACCTCGAGTGTTCTCGAATATTTGGTGCTAGTATCAATCACAGTCCTGATATGACCTACAAACGTAGTTACATAGTGTCCGAAACAAGATGCATCCAATATCTTATTGCCGAATTCTGCACCCATTAGTCAATCAGCAGGATTACTGGAAGCACCAGTTTCTTTCAATGAACACGTCAACACCAATTTGCTATCCATTTACCCTCTAAGCACTAGTCAGCAGACAGCATGGTATGAGGATAGTGTCGCATGACTGTCGACGCGATCGTCAGTTCGCAGTAGATGGCTGTATTCAGTCATGATAGTCAATTAGTGAATACAGGTTACTGAAAAGATAAGTGTTTAAATTTTTTTGAAAGCACTTTTGGTTGTTATTACATGTAGCCTGAAATCTGCTGAAGGGACTCCAGATTTCAGCTGCAGCATTAAATGTTAATAATTGCACAAGCATGTCGACTAAACTCCTAATTACTTGCTAAATTTTGTTAATAATGAATAGATAGTTTATTATTTTTGCTACAACTATCATTTTTTACGCTTATTAAGTAACACCATCAGAATTCTTAAAATGCTCACAGTATTCATCTAAACCTCGATCCTTATTTCTCTGTTTAACTATCTTGATTCATTCATTAAGCAGTTAATCCTTTTTCAATTTTTTAATCATCTCTGAAACAGATATGCTAAAGCTCCTACTATCTCGCAAATAGTTTTTAAGTGCTTTCAATACACAAAACTTTACCCAGTGACATAAATCTAGCTGTTTATACCACAAAAGAAGTGGAAGCCATCGTTTGGAAAAAGATAAATTTGCCACAATTTCCCACCAAAATACTAGAATTAACTGATTGGTCCAAGAAAGAATACTGTAGAGGCCACAGAGTATCCTATGACAGTAATTTTTTAAAACCTAAAGTGAGTAATTTAATTAAGATTTATTCGGTCCAAAGGCTTTTGTCAAAGAATCTTTGAATTCACATACAGTAGCTCGTTACAAAAGGCAAAAAGCTATTTCTTACTCTGTGTCTGTAAGACGTTGCTATAAAATATACGACCGGTGTCATGGGCCAATTCCAGTTAACAAATTTACTCATATGCAAAATATAACCCCAAACAAAAATTTAATTTTCTTAAATAGAATAATTTTAATGGGATTATTATCCTATTTTGCTAATTTTTGTTCTTGTATGCGCATGGTTTACAAGAGCTGTAATCATTTTTGCAACAAAAAAGAGTATCAAGTTGATGTTTTTCTATCTTTGCACAAATTTGACAACTACAAAAATTCCGCTGCCTAAGATACAATAAAGTCTAAAATTTAGCTTATTTTGCCGTTTTTAAAACTAAGTACTATTAAACTCGCGCAAAAAACGTTATCTTCTGTATGTATTTAGAAAAGGCATCTATTTTATGTTAATATGTATATATCTGTCGTATTCGCATCGCTCGTCAAAAAATTAAACAGTAAAATATTACAACAAACAGACAATCTACATTTTAAGTGATTTATATTACTTAAGAGTTTTTTACTGACCTTAAAAATGTACAAATACATGTATCTTTATTTGTATCTGATTACTTGTATGTTTCAATCAACGCGTAATCATGGCCTTGAGACTTAATCCTTTGAAGCGCTGTCTTCGAATATTCTTGTGGCTTTAGTTTGGTTCTAACTTTCCCTCTACATTTCGTAATTGACAGGTACGTTGTGTACTTTTTTTAGATAACAGGAAAACAATAGTACAGTCTTTACCTTTTGACGGTAAAATATAAATGCATATATGCTTCAGCACCAGTAAAAACCCTCCCGTTTATCTATATTTACCTTGCTTCTTCATCATTATTATGTCGGTTACTTGCGAAATTGTATAATAAGCCTAGTATTTTCTAACGGGTCAAATGCAAATTCTTTGATTACGCATGTGCTGCAGATTTTCTAAAGCATCTAAGATGATTCTTCGTGACTCATGTTTTACTCACATGTGAAATATCGAAATTCGCGTTTCAGCGTGTTATTGGTTCACCTTTTTGAACACCTTGTTCATTAAGTCATATACCATACACATAGGTTCTTTTAAAGCTTTCTTTTTTGTAGTGCCCTCTAATAGTGTCACTGCTCATCAGTTTTCGAAACAGGCGTCAATAATATTTTACTGAAATTTTTCCTCTGCATGCATTTAATTTTTTTGATGTTTTGTTTATCCTGCCTCTAAGCATACGAAATAGCTAATGATACTTAACTTACCATTCAGTTTAAGCTGAGCTTTTTTCATTTAATTGATTAAACTTAGCAAAACGTAATTAGTTCATTGGAATTATGTCTCGTTCAGTAGCGTACTTTGGAAACGAACGGTTGCAAACTCCTTCCATTTCATGTTTCTCTGAATATTTGAGGATTTATTGTTCAAGTCCCGGATAAATTGTTCAATAATTTATCTCTGCTAAATGTTCGCAATGTTGTTTCGTACGGACGTTACTTTTTTCCAGCATAGAACTGAACATATAGGTGAAAATCATTAAATTTTGTTTCTTCTAGACTGCTTCATTATCTCAAGTCCATTAGCCCGTTTTTAAGCAACTGGAGTAATAGTCTTTAGATGTCAAAATATTGTAACAACTAGTCCTTATCCGCCAAGTTGTCACATATTTGTGCCACGAATGGTTATAATTACATAATGCGTTGCTTAGGTTTAAGCATGACATCTGCTTCATTACATCTTCTTACATTTTCATATCGACGAAGATTATTTGGACTGATTTCACGGTGCAAATTTAGGCGAATTTGAGCTAAATATTATACTTGCTTTCTGCTGCAGACAGCCAAACCGGAATGTTGTCACTTTTTGGCCTTTCGCCTCCGTTTGACGTCGTATCAACAATAAATAACGATGGTTATCTGTTCAACGCTGAGGTATGTATTCATCCCATAAATACGTGCATATTTAGTAAACTTAACGTAGAATAAGGAGTTTGGTCCTACTTCATAGTTACAATGGTAAAATGTTACATGTAAGAGTTTGTGGCAGTTGAAAACTGTTGGAGTAAATTGGCGCCTTTTTTCCAGCCACACATTGCTGGCAATAACGCTTTTGGCCACATATAACACAATGTAAAATTTGCGCATATGGTATAGAGGCAGTTGTGACCACGGGCAATTTTACTGTCTGCTACGTTTAAGGTATCACTTCCAATGATGTAGAAATGATGGGTTTAAATGAAGCACAGTTTACTAACGGGTGCTAAAATATATGATAATTTCAGGCCATCTATTCACAAAAGAGAGTCCAACCTTGCTGCTTACTTGGCTAATTTTGGTTAACCCTTAGGATGGCATTCGTCGATCTCTGATAGTCAGGGATTCGGATCTGCCTTCTCTTCTTGATGAGCGTCTCCAGTCCGTGTACGACCTTCTTCTGGAGGCAGTCCGTGTGTCAGGTATGCGCTTGTAAGGTGTTTTCCTTTGCTGCGTACTCACTATCACTATCAACCGACTGCACACTGGATAACTAATGGTACTTTGCGCGGTATTTGAAATAAGATGTAAAAGGAACGGTTTCTTCCGAACTGCAGCCAAAGAAGGACGGACAATCCGCGATCGCCTTCATGATGATACGTTGCAAAGCATTCGAGACATCGGTGTCGGTATTATAATCCTCAGAAGTGCAAAGTCGTATATCTTAGTACAAAGTCCTAGTGTTTTACCTAATCACTTGCAGGCAAAATGTTAAAAGGGGTGGATGTAGTTGAAGCCTTTTGCTCTTGCTCGAATTTTTGATGACAAATTGATTTTAAAAGGCTCTGATTAGTTTTGCCCTTGTGTCTGAATGAGAGGCAATTAGTGATTCACTGTTATAAATCTTAGACACACCAATGTAATCCCCCAACTTCAAACGTCTATCCATGTCGTTGATGTAATGACCAAGCATTGTCGCTTACTGCGAACTAACAAATGCGTCGACAGTCATGCGACACTATCCTCATACCATGCTGTCTGCTGACTAGTGTGTAGAGGGTAAATGGATAGCAAATTGGTGTCGACGTGTTCATTGAAAGAAACTGGTGCTTCCAGTAATCCTGCTGATTGACTAATGGGTGCAGAATTCGGCAATAAGATAT